AATTACATTTGACTCCAGTGTTTCGTCAACTTAATGTGTTGCTTAAAATAATACTTCTGCATCCAGTATGTGACACTGTGAGTGTTGCACGGCCAGATACGGCTCAGCTGACTCAGATAAGGAAATATATGATACATTATGATGTGATATGATATGAATGATAATGGGACACATCGACGTCTGCACTCACAGTGCCGCGGACTGTACTTAATGTTACTCTGATCCAGTTACTTATGTTGTGGCAGATATTTAAGTAAGCTTTCTTAACGCTAATGTTATAATAGTCAGATTGCTCTGAAGATGGGAGGGGATATTCTATTAATGTTCACGTTCACACAGTCAGGTGATTTTTGCCGGCCGTCTTTCCTGCAACGGCAGTTTTTCTGTCTGTCCTCTATCCTGTAATATGACTTGATAGCTTTAAACTCCGCACACTGAGCTCTGATTGGTCAGCAGGCGGTGAGCTCTGATTGGTCAGCAGGCGGTACTTTCACTGAGTTGATCTCTTAGCCTGCAACCTAACCTGCTCCGGACCAGGCTAGCCGCTCAGCATCAGTTACCATGGAGATCTAGCCCGCTAAAAAGAGAACCAGCGTCGTAGGACCGGAAAGCCAGAGTTACCCTGAATTTAGCTAAGAGAAAATCCGGCTTCGTAGTACAGGCCTCTGATGTTTGTTTACCTCTGATGTTTGTTTACTTGTGTTTGTTTACTTGTTATTACCTGTTGTTTGTGAGGCAGGATCCTGATGTCCTCCAGGCTGAAGGAGCGCCAGGTGGAGGACGGCTGTTTGAGGATCAGCCTCACAGAGATCACATGATCCGGGTCCACCTGCATCTGGTGAAACAATCACATGACATCACTTCCTGTCCCCACATCTGGAGGTCAATGGTTCTCTAGTGACACACAATCACATGACATCACTTCCTGTCCCCACGTCTGGAGGTCAATGGTTCTCTAGTGACACACAATCACATGCCATCACTTCCTGTCCCCACATCTCAAGGTCAATGGTTCTCTAGTGACACACAATCACATGCCATCACTTCCTGTCCCCACGTCTGGACATGACATCGCTTCTCAACTTTTTCTCAGAATTATGACAAAACAAATTCATGCACGCACGCACGCACGCACGCCACACACACACACGCACGCCACACACACACACGCACGCCACACACACACCTGAGTCCTGTGGATGCAGCAGTAGTCCTGCGACCCCCCCTCAGTGTGGGGGTTCTCCATCAGAGGCAGGTCTCTCACAGCAGTGACCCACTGAGAGGGGGGGGCCCGTCCTCAGCAGACGCACACTCACTGAGGCCGTGTAGTGGTTCTTAAAGCTGATCTCCTCCACCTGACACACACACACACACACACACACACACACACACACACACACACACACACACACACACACACACACACACACACACACACCACACACACACACACACACACACACACACACACACACACACACACACACACACACACAGAGAGAGGGTTATAAACACTGTACAAATGCTTTGTGTTGCTGCGTGTGATGATGATGTGTTAGCAGTGTTGGCATTGTCGGCAGTATTAGCAGTATTAGCAGTGTGGGCAGTGATCAATCAATCAATGTTTATTTATATAGCCCAATATCACAAATGTTACATTTGTCTCAGTGGACTTCACAGTTTGTACAAAATATCAGTATGACAATACGACCCCCTCTGTCCTTAGACCCTCACATCGTACAAGGAAAAACTTTCAGAGAAAAACCCCACAGTTTAAAGGAACATGGGAGAAACCTCAGTGATAGCATGGTTAGCAGTGTAGGCAGTGTCTGCAATGTCGGCAGCGTTAGCAGTGTTGGCAGTGTTAGCAGTGTTAGCAGTGTTGGCAGTGTCTGCAGTGTTAGCAGTGTTAGCAGTGTTAGCAGTGTTGGCAGTGTCTGCAGCGTCTGCAGCGTTGGCAGTGTTGGCAGTGTTGGCAGTGTTGGCAGTGTATGCAGTGTTAGCAGTGTTGGCAGTGTTGGCAGTGTTGGCAGTGTATGCAGTGTTAGCAGTGTTGGCAGTGTTGGCAGTGTTGGCAGTGTATGCAGTGTTGGCAGTGTTGGCAGTGTTAGCAGTGTTGGCAGTGTTGGCAGTGATAGCAGTGTATGCAGTGTTAGCAGTGTTGGCAGTGTTGGCAGTGTCGGCAGTGATAGCATGGTTAGCAGTGTCAGCGGTGTCAGCGGTGTTAGCGGTGTTAGCGGTGCCAGCAGTGTTAGCAGAGTTAGCAGAGTTAGCCGTGTTAGCAGTGTTAGCGGTGTTAGCAGTGTTAGCAGAGTTAGCAGAGTTAGCAGTGTTAGCAGTGTTAGCGGAGTTAGCGGTGTTAGCGGTGTTAGCGGTGTTAGCAGAGTTAGCAGTGTTAGCAGAGTTAGCAGAGTTAGCAGTGTTAGCAGTGTTAGCAGTGTTAGCAGAGTTAGCAGTGTTAGCGGTGTTAGCGGTGTTAGCAGAGTTAGCAGTGTTAGCAGTGTTAGCGGTGTTAGCGGTGTTAGCAGTGTTAGCAGTGTTAGCAGAGTTAGCAGAGTTAGCAGTGTTGGCAGTGTCTGCAGTGTTAGCAGTGTTGGCAGTGTTGGCAGTGATAGCAGTGTATGCAGTGTTAGCAGTGTCTGCAGTGTCGGCAGCGTCGGCAGTGTCGGCAGTGTCGGCAGTGATAGCATGGTTAGCGGTGTCAGCGGTGTTAGCGGTGCCAGCAGTGTTAGCAGAGTTAGCAGAGTTAGCCGTGTTAGCGGTGTTAGCGGTGTTAGCAGTCTTAGCAGAGTTAGCAGTGTTAGCAGTGTTAGCAGTGTTAGCAGAGTTAGCAGTGTTAGCAGTGTTAGCAGTGTTAGCAGAGTTAGCAGTGTTAGCAGAGTTAGCAGTGTTAGCGGTGTTAGCAGTGTTAGCAGAGTTAGCAGTGTTAGCAGTGTTAGCAGAGTTAGCAGTGTTGGCAGTGTTGGCAGTGATAGCATGATTAGCAGTGTCTGCAGTGTCGGCAGCGTCGGCAGTGATAGCATGGTTAGCAGTGTCAGCGGTGTCAGCGGTGTCAGCGGTGTCAGCGGTGTTAGCGGTGCCAGCAGTGTTAGCAGAGTTAGCAGAGTTAGCCGTGTTAGCAGCGTTAGCGGTGTTAGCAGAGTTAGCAGTGTTAGCAGTGTTAGCAGTGTTAGCAGAGTTTGCGGTGTTAGCGGTGTTAGCGGTGTTAGCAGAGTTAGCAGAGTTAGCAGTGTTAGCAGAGTTAGCAGTGTTAGCAGTGTTAGCAGTGTTAGCAGAGTTAGCAGTGTTAGCAGTGTTAGCAGAGTTAGCAGTGTTAGCAGTGTTAGCAGTGTTAGCAGAGTTAGCAGTGTTAGCAGTGTTAGCAGTGTTAGCAGAGTTAGCAGAGTTGTCTCACGTTGACGGTCTTCCCAAAGGGCAGAGTGATGTCCAGCACGCAGACCCCAGAGAGAGGCTCTGTGTCTCCGAGGTGCAGGAACACCGGGGGTTTGATGCTGCTGTCCACCGGCAGGAGGACATCACTGCTGCTGCTGCTCATCTGCAGGACACACATCAGAGACATGTAAACACACACATCATCTGGAGGAGACACATGAGAGACATGTAAACACACATCATCTGGAGGACACACATCAGAGACATGTAAACACATCATCTGCAGGAGACACATCAGAGACATGTAAACACACACATCATCTGGAGGAGACACATCAGAGACATGTAAACACACATCATCTGGAGGACACACATCAGAGACATGTAAACACACACATCATCTGGAGGAGACACATCAGAGACATGTAAACACATCATCTGCAGGAGACACATCAGAGACATGTAAACACACACATCATCTGGAGGACACACATCAGAGACATGTAAACACACACATCATCTGGAGGAGACACATCAGAGACATGTAAACACACACATCATCTGGAGGAGACACATCAGAGACATGTAAACACATCATCTGGAGGACACACATCAGAGACATGTAAACACATCATCTGGAGGAGACACATCAGAGACATGTAAACACACACATCATCTGGAGGAGACACATCAGAGACATGTAAACACATCATCTGGAGGACACACATCAGAGACATGTAAACACATCATCTGGAGGAGACACATCAGAGACATGTAAACACATCATCTGGAGGAGACACATCAGAGACATGTAAACACATCATCTGGAGGAGACACATCAGAGACATGTAAACACACACATCATCTGGAGGAGACACATCAGAGACATGTAAACACACACATCATCTGGAGGAGACACATCAGAGACATGTAAACACATCATCTGGAGGACACACATCAGAGACATGTAAACACATCATCTACAGGAGACACATCAGAGACATGTAAACACATCATCTGGAGGAGACACATCAGAGACATGTAAACACATCATCTGGAGGACACACATCAGAGACATGTAAACACATCATCTGGAGGACACACATCAGAGACATGTAAACACATCATCTGGAGGAGACACATCAGAGACATGTAAACACACACATCATCTGGAGAGAGGACACATCAGAGACATGTAAACACACACATCATCTGGAGGAGACACATCAGAGACATGTAAACACATCATCTGGAGGACACACATCAGAGACATGTAAACACATCATCTGGAGGACACACATCAGAGACATGTAAACACACACATCATCTGGAGGAGACACATCAGAGACATGTAAACACACACATCATCTGGAGGAGACACATCAGAGACATGTAAACACACACATCATCTGGAGGAGACACATCAGAGACATGTAAACACATCATCTGGAGGAGACACATCAGAGACATGTAAACACACACATCATCTGGAGGAGACACATCAGAGACATGTAAACACATCATCTGGAGGAGACACATCAGAGACATGTAAACACATCATCTGGAGGACACACATCAGAGACATGTAAACACATCATCTGGAGGACACACATCAGAGACATGTAAACACATCATCTGGAGGAAACACATCAGAGACATGTAAACACATCATCTGGAGGACACACATCAGAGACATGTAAACACACATCATCTGGAGGACACACATCAGAGACATGTAAACACACACATCATCTGGAGGAGACACATCAGAGACATGTAAACACACACATCATCTGGAGGAGACACATCAGAGACATGTAAACACACACATCATCTGGAGGAGACACATCAGAGACATGTAAACACATCATCTGGAGGAGACACATCAGAGAGACATGTAAACACATCATCTGGAGGACACCACATCAGAGACATGTAAACACATCATCTGGAGGACACCATCAGAGACATGTAAACAACACACATCATCTGGAGGAGACACATCAGAGACATGTAAACACATCATCTGGAGGAGACACATCAGAGACATGTAAACACACACATCATCTGGAGGACACATCAGAGACATGTAACACACACATCATCTGGAGGACACACATCAGAGACATGTAAACCAACCACATCATCTGGAGGACACACATCAGAGACATGTAACACACATCATCTGGAGGAGACACATCAGAGACATGTAAACACACACCTCATCTGCAGGAGACACATCAGAGACATGTAAACACATCATCTGGAGGAGACACATCAGAGACATGTAAAACACAATCATCTGGCAGGAGACACATCAGAGACATGTAAAACACACATCATCTGGAGGAGACACATCAGAGACATGTAAACACATCATCTGGAGGAGACACATCAGAGACATGTAAACACACATCATCTGGAGGAGACACATCAGAGACATGTAAACACACACATCTGGAGGAGGACACATCAGAGACATGTAAACACACACATCATCTGGGGACACACATCAGAGACATATAAACACATCATTGGAGGAGGAGACACATCAGAGACATGTAAACACACATATCTGGAGGAGACACATCAGAGACATGTAAACAACACATCATCTGGAGGAGACACATCAGAGACATGTAAACACACATCATCTGGAGGAGACACATCAGAGACATGTAAACACACACATCATCTGGAGGAGACACATCAGAGACATGTAAACACACACATCATCTGGAGGAGACACATCAGAGACATGTAAACACATCATCTGGAGGAGACACATCAGAGACATGTAAACACACACATCATCTGGAGGACACACATCAGAGACATATAAACACATCATCTGGAGGAGACACATCAGAGACATGTAAACACATCATCTGGAGGAGACACATCAGAGACATGTAAACACATCATCTGCAGGAGACACATCAGAGACATGTAAACACACATCATCTGGAGGAGACAATCAGAGACATGTAAACACATCATCTGGAGGAGGACACATCAGAGACATGTAAACACATCATCTGGAGGAGACACATCAGAGACATGTAAACACAATCATCTGGAGGAGACACATCAGAGACATGTAAACACAACACATCATCTGGAGGAGACACATCAGAGACATGTAACACACATCATCTGGAGGAGACACATCAGAGACATGTAAACACACCATCATCTGGAGGAGACACATCAGAGACATGTAAACACACACATCATCTGGAGGACACACATCAGAGACATGTAAACACATCATCTGGAGGAGACACATCAGAGACATGTAAACACATCATCTACAGGAGACACATCAGAGACATGTAAACACACATCATCTGGAGGAGACACATCAGAGACATGTAAACACACACATCATCTGGAGGAGACACATCAGAGACATGTAAACACACATCATCTGGAGGAGACACATCAGAGACATGTAAACACATCATCTGCAGGAGACACATCAGAGACATGTAAACACACACATCATCTGGAGGAGACACATCAGAGACATGTAAACACACACATCATCTGGAGGAGACACATCAGAGACATGTAAACACATCATCTGGAGGAGACACATCAGAGACATGTAAACACATCATCTGGAGGAGACACATCAGAGACATGTAAACACACACATCATCCACAGTGATGTTTAACTGGTGGGGGGAAACTCCTGAAACTCCTACTACAATGACATGAATGCAGACAATATGTTGTTGTTTTTGATACTGTAGATCACCACATGTTGTTGTTGTTTTTGATCACAACATGTTGCTCCTCTCTGCTGCACACGGCCTCTTTCTAAATCTGCATGCTCTCCACTTTGTCATTCTTTAAAAACATGAACATGAGTCTGCTCTCTCTTCAGCACCATGGACAGCGACAGCAGGACGTTAGCATTCTGATAGCATCGCAGCTAACGGATGAGTCAGCATTATGTGATACAAACGGGTTAATATATATGAGTTAAATGACTGTGAGATGTTCCAGCACTTACCTTCTGTGTCAGAGAGGAGGAGCAGAGAGAGAAGCGCTGTTGAAAACACGAAGAAGTGATTTAGATTAAAACGCTGAAGGAGCTTCTGTTGTTGACATGCTGAAGAGCCTCTGTTACTTCCGGGTTGTAGCCATGACGACAGGGAGCGTCTTAAAGGGGCAGCAGCCCCTCAGCTGTGTCTCAGTGTCACTCAAATCATCTGGAGTCTTTTATATATAAAACATGACATCATGTCCTCTGGAATAATGTTTGAATGAAGTGAAACAGCTCATAGTTATATCTTCCAGCTGCTTCAACCTTCTGCAGATATTCACATGTCATTACATCAGCCCAGCAGCAGAGGGCAGCATTAGCATAGTGTGTTGTTAAACTGCATCAGCTAAACAGTAAAACATCAACAAAAACAACAACAACAACTGCATTGTTCAATTGTACCTTATTTTAACATTTTTAAATTGTGAATCTTTCTTATTGTCTACTCTTGAGTCCCTCCTGCCTCGATCCATCACCTCTGTTCCCTCTCCTCCTCCAGAGAGGCAATGTGGACACGTCCAAAGGTCAGCCACTACACCAGAGTGTGTGTGTGTGTGTGTGTGTGTGTGTGTGTGTGTGTGTGTGTGTGTGTGTGTGTGTGTGTGTGTGTGTGTGTGTGTGTGTGTGTGTGTGTGTGTGTGTGTGTGTGTGTGTGTGTGTGTGTGTGTGTATCTAGAGACAGAGGCTTGTAAACACAGGGAGGCTGAATATTGAATATTGTTGTATCTATCGGATTAAACCGTATTTTATATGATGGCATCTTACACTTTGGGGGTTTCACATGCAGTCCATTCACTGTCAGCGTATCTTAACGTATCGTATGAAATCATATCGTATGGTGTGTTATCTTATCATGACACGTATCGATTGTTATCGTCAAAGCTACATCAAATCGTAGCTCCTTGCACCATAGTGCATCATTATCTGTTACGACACAAGAAAAGGACAAGACCCAAATGCACGACTCCAGACAAAAAGACGGTTAAAAAAAAGGTATTTACTTACAAACACGCTTAGTATACATGGACTCCAAAAATTACTAAATACTTACTAACTCTCCAGAACAGAAATCAACTGGCCGTCTAATCTCTAATAATATCTAAATTCTTGTTTCATTTTGTAGTCATATTAGAAACTAAGGCTTTAGAAGGGATTTTGGATATCTCTTTGTATCACTCCATAAATCAGAAAATACTGTCAGCCCTAAAATATCAATTTTCGCTCTGTTTCTAGGTATAAAATGTTATATAATTCAGGCTATGAATGATATATGAACCAACACTTCTGTAAAAGCCTTCATAATATTGATAGGAATATAACTGAAAGCTTTGGTGTATGTAAGTGCTACTGACGTGGACATGTCGAACTCAGAGCAGGAGAAAAAACTCATTTTGAGAAAACGACCTTTAAAGATCTGTATTGTCAAATTCAATTTTTTTTGTATTGGAAGACACAATATCTAATCTAATACTTACCAACAACAATATAGAACATATAACACTGAAAACTGAGTAACACAGTATATGACCTGATGAACAAAACCACAGTAACACACACACTGCGACCACAGTAACACACACACTGCGACCACAGTAACACACACACTGCGACCACAGTAACACACACACTGCGACCACAGTAACACACACACTGCGACCACAGTAACACACACACACTGCGACCACAGTAACACACACACACTGTGACCACAGTAACACACACACTGCGACCACAGTAACACCACCCACACTGCGACCACAGGTAACACCACCACACATGCGACCACAGTAACACACACCACTGCTGACCACAGTAACACACACCACACTGTGACCACAGTAACACACCACACATGTGACCACAGTTAACACACACACTGTGACCACAGTAACACACACACTTGACCACCAGTAACAACAACTGCGACACAGTAAAACACACCACACACTGTGACCACAGTACACACACCACACACTGCGGGGGACCACAGTAACACACACCACACTGCGACCACAAGTAACACACACACACTGTGACCACAGTCCACAGTAAACACACACACTGCCGACCCACATTAACACACAACACTGCGACCACAGTAACACAACACACACCACTGTGACCACAGTAACACACACACACTGCGACCCACCAGTAACACACATCACTGTGAGCCACAGTTAACACACCACAACTGTGACCACAGTTAACACACACACTGCGGACCACAGTAACCACACACACTCGCCGGACCACAGTAACACACACACACTGCGACCACAGAAACACACACACACTGTGACCACAGTAACACCACACTGACCACAGTAACACACACTGCGACCACAGTAACACACACACTGCGACCACAGTAACACACACACTGCGACCACAGTAACACACACACACTGTGACCACAGTAACACACACACTGCGACCACAGTAACACACACACTGCGACCACAGTAACACACACACTGCGACCACAGTAACACACACACTCGACCACAGTAACACACACACACTGTGACCACAGTAACACACACACACTGTGACCACAGTAACACACACACTGTGACCACAGTAACACACACACACTGTGACCACAGTAACACACACACTGCGACCACAGTAACACACACACACTGTGACCACAGTAACACACACACACTGTGACCACAGTAACACACACACACTGTGACCACAGTAACACACACACACTGTGACCACAGTAACACACACACACTGTGACCACAGTAACACACACACTGCGACCACAGTAACACACACACTGCGACCACAGTAACACACACACACTGTGACCACAGTAACACACACACACTGTGACCACAGTAACACACACACACTGCGACCACAGTAACACACACACACTGTGACCACAGTAACACACACACACTGCGACCACAGTAACACACACACTTCGACCACAGTAACACACACACACTGTGACCACAGTAACACACACACACTGCGACCACAGTAACACACACACACTGTGACCACAGTAACACACACACACTGCGACCACAGTAACACACACACTTCGACCACAGTAACACACACACACTGCGACCACAAAAACACACACACACTGCGACCACAGTAACACACACACACTGTGACCACAGTAACACACACACTGCGACCACAGTAACACACACCTGCGACCCCACAGTAAACACACACACTGCGACCACAGTAACACACACACACTGCGACCACAGTAACACACACACACTGTGACCACAGTAACACACACACTGCGACCACAGTAACACACACACTGCGACCACAGTAACACACACACTGCGACCACAGTAACACACACACACTGTGACCACAGTAACACACACACTGTGACCACAGTAACACACACACTGTGACCACAGTAACACACACACTGCGACCACAGTAACACACACACACACTGTGACCACAGTAACACACACACACTGTGACCACAGTAACACACACACACTGCGACCACAGTAACACACACACTTCGACCACAGTAACACACACACACTGTGACCACAGTAACACACACACTGTGACCACAGTAACACACACACACTGTGACCACAGTAACACACACACTGCGACCACAGTAACACACACACTGTGACCACAGTAACACACACACTTCGACCACAGTAACACACACACACTGCGACCAACAGTAACCACACACAACTGCGACCACAGTAACACACACACACTGTGACCACAGTAACACACACACACTGTGACCACAGTAACACACACACTGTGACCACAGTAACACACACACACTGCGACCACAGTAACACACACACACTGTGACCACAGTAACACACACACACTGTGACCACAGTAACACACACACACTGCGACCACAGTAACACACACACACTGTGACCACAGTAACACACACAGTGACCACAGTAACACACACACACTGTGACCACAGTAACACACACACACACTGCGACCACAGTAACACACACACACTGCGACCACAGTAACACACACACACTGTGACCACAGTAACACACACACACTGTGACCACAGTAACACACACACTGTGACCACAGTAACACACACACTGCGACCACAGTAACACACACACACTGCGACCACAGTAACACACACACTGCGACCACAGTAACACACACACACTGCGACCACAGTAACACACACACTTCGACCACAGTAACACACACACACTGCGACCACAGTAACACACACACTGCGACCACAGTAACACACACACACTGTGACCACAGTAACACACACACACTGTGACCACAGTAACACACACACTGTGACCACAGTAACACCACAGTAACACACACACACTGCGACCACAGTAACACACACACTGCGACCACAGTAACACACACACTGCGACCACAGTAACACACACACACTGTGACCACAGTAACACACACACTGCCACCCTAGTTGTATGTCCATCCGTCCTACATAACACAGCCTAGTCCTGCTCCATAAGTAGGCCCCTCCTGCATCTCCTGCTGATGTCTTTTCACTTTGTTTGCTGTGCTTAGACTCTTGCGCCTATATTTTAAACTGGCAGATGTAACAGCCTCAGCTTTTGAAATTCTAAGTAAATCATTTGCTCTCATTGCGCTGACAGTAACAGCTGTGCTCTGGAGCCACAACTTCTCCATAACAGCCAGCATGGCAGAGGCACCTTCAGGTAGAGATGGCCATACTTGCAGCTGCCTCAACCCTGCTTTTCCCCACAAAGACCTTTTTTGGACACCGCGCCCATATCACTGAGTTGAGGCACTCGTTGGCATTTTGAGTACCTCCATGCTGCTTTCTCTGTAGCAGGCTGTCACTTGACATGCGGTGGTGCACAGGGATAAGCTTCTGCCCTACCTCTCGCTTTAAAAAGTTTGCAGCATGTAGTTTGTGGCTACCAGGTGTGTCCCCATTATCCTCTGCTTTCCTATACCAACACCAGGAGGGATTGCACCTGGTGTGTAAGGGGCTGTCATCTGTAGACATGCCATGGAGGAGACCTGCCCATATTTCGGCCTTCATCTG